ACATCTCCAGTGTATTTACAGTGCCAGAAAATTTAATTATAAAATATTTAACTGTGGAAACTAAATTTCCACACGGAAAAGTATCTCAGTTCGTGTAATCGAATAAGGACCAGGCGAATATTTGGCGACGAGAAATGATATCTTTATTACCGCGACTGGAAATATTTATCTAACATATTCTCAGTATGTATTAAAACTCGATTGAGATAACTGAAAACAATTGATTAAGTAAAAGCAGAAATCTTTCTGTATGTGCTCCGAAACGGAAAAAAATATCATTCTGTTGCTAAATCTACATTCATTCTTTTAAATAATAGATATCTTCAGTAAAGAATATTTTCTTAATAGTTTTATAATATGCTCATCACCAATTTTAAGAAAAATATATTATCATGTATTCAAAAGAAGAATTTATTCTCTTTTCCAAAAACATTATTAAACTTTACCAAAGAAAAGTTAAACTCGGTTAAATTGAATAAGCACAAACTGAGGTTTATTTTAATTTAATGTCCTTGATTGAAGTACTAACCTTAATTAGAGTCCGGAATATATTTTGAATAAATTCGATGCTTATGACTGGATTTATGATATGTACAAACTTACGAAATATTTGAAACAAATAATATTTACTTGAATGTAATATATATTTTTCAATGTGTGCAACCAAATTTTCCGCCTGGTCCCTTCTCGCGCAACGGAAAATTTAATTACACTAACAAAGTTCTTTTTTCCGTACGTAAAAAACTATCATTCTTCTCGCCTTAATTAAATCTCGGGGATTATCTCGCGAGTTTGTCTTTCAAAAAGTTGTATTTGTCACGATACCCTAATTGAGTGGGGAACGTCAAGGTGACGACGGTGGTGCCTTCCGGCAACGCGCTCATGAAATCCGCATCCAACACTTCGTCGGTGTTCATGGAAGCCGAGACCGTATCGGCCCATTCGCTCCCGGACGATGTGGAAGCCGTCGACGTCACCGTTGTGCTCCGCGGATTCTCGCCTGCAACGTGCACGCCGGAAAAAAACAAACGGAAGTAACACGCTCGATTGGCGTCGCGATTGGAATACCGATTTCCGTGCATTTCGCGCACAACACGAAGACTATCCGATCTCAGGTTTTATCGATCTAGCGTAAGGCTCGGTAATCTTTGGGAACATTGCAGTGCCCAATTAACTAACTCGTGACTTACAAAAAAATAAACTTGCACATTGAATTCGTAAGAAACACCGGAATGTTGTAACATTCGCCTTTTCTCAATACACCGTCGGCGTCATGTATGTTGCGTCGTTTCCTAGACGGAAAATCAATTTTCAACCTTATATGTAATTCATAAAGTTGAAAATCGCACAAGTAACTCCAGTTATAACGTTAGGGTTATACTAGCTTTAATTGAAATGGTTTTAGGGTTGTGTGTATATAAGTATAAGAACTGAAAATCGTGTAGTTTTCAATCTAGAGAACGACACAGCATACATGACGTCGACTGTACGTAATTAAAGAAATGCAAAAATGCACACATCTGTCGCGATAACGTTTGCTGTGGTATTCGATTTTATCCCGGGATTTACTTCAATTCCAAATTCCCGCTTCCGAAGGTACCGTTCGAGTCACGAACGTAAACGTGCGTACTCCTATATCTATTTCGCGAATAGAGCCGACAGCGCGGGGTTGGATTCCGTGAGGTCTTACTCGGCTCCGTTCTCTCTGCATCGCGATCGGAGATGCCCACGGAGAGCTCGGTGTTCGCAGCGGAGGTCGAAGGTTCATCGGGGTCGACTTCGGAGAAATAACTGGCGAGGTCCTGGTAAGATTCGCGCGTCCTTGCATCCGCGACGAGATGCTCGGCCCGATACACCGAGGTGTTGCTCTTCGCCGCACTTTGTTCGTCCGGTACGGACGCTGACGACGAAAAGACGAATCTCGCGTTTACGTTCCAACGACGCTTCAATTAAGAGGATGCCAGAGTTGATGACGAACTTGACAAGCGATAACGTAGAGGCGATCTTCAAAATGTTATGTTATACAAACACTGACACGATCACGCTACTCTTTTTGTACTTCTCGCACACAGAAAAACAGTGATTCAAGTAAATAATTACTCCAATACTCTTTAGCAAATTTTTACTTCGATTAAGTAACATTTATTTGATCCGAGTAAAATATTTTCCGAGTAAATTATTCAAGTAAAATATTTAACTGATCCAAGTGAAATTTAGTCGACTCAAGCGAAAATTTGCTAAGGAGTCATTGGATTATTTACTTGAATCCAGCACTATTTTTCTGTATACACATAAATCTTACGTAAATGTAAATGTGATATAAATGTGAATGTAATGAATGTGCACTACTCTGTTTTACCATATCTAATAGAAAATCTAACCAGTGTGTGAAAATTTTATTATAAATTTCTTCTATCTTCCTCTAGGTCTCGAAATTTAGTCGGAAATATATAAAAATTTTGTTTGAAATTTTTCCCATTGGAGCATCGATACATTCGGAATGTACAAAACGTAGGATTTCTGTATCATATAAATATTTTCTTCATCTGTATCAGGTAAATATTTACGCTAGCTGAGTTATAAGTGTCAATGCTGGATTTTTTAATCGTTTTCGTCACATAAAATTGAACAATGCTCCAGTTTATTTTCGCACATACTTTCACGGTGTAAAAGCATATATAATTCTGTACAACCGATAAAACACAAACTTTGTAGAAAAAAAAATCAATCAACACATTCTATTAGTAAAGTTTTCAAATATGGCATCCCCTTGATCGAACAAGGTACGGTATTTACCATTACTGGTATTTCCGATCCTTTCGGAAACTTGCGGGCTAACTTCGTGGCGATTCTCGCCCTCGGAATTCTTCGATCTCATAAAACGTCTCAGAGGGTTACCGAAAGTGTTGAGCAGCTTCGATCTGATCTGTGCGTGCTGCTCGTTAGACGACGTTTCCTCGTTCACGCGAAAAGCACGCATTGCGTCCCTCCCCCTTCCCGTCAGACATGTCGTAACACCGATTGAGTTGCTTAATTAACGTTTTATTAACCAGCTCGGGTAATTTCCCGGCCACTCAAGATACGCTTTCACCCTCCTGCCGGCCATTCATAAAATCGAAATTTCCGCAATTAACGCGACTGTAAAATAGCGGTAATTACGCACTGTAACGAACAGGATGCGACATAAGTTCTCGCACGGGCTAATTAGAATTTCCGATCGATCTCGGCCGACAAAACTGCAGAAACGAGTAAACAAAACTCGCGTCAACTATAAATCGCCGGGATATCTCGGAAAAACTATAACGCAGAGTACGCACAGGTTATCTTTTTGAACTCGAGTACTTCCTCACTATTATGAATTCCCCGAAGAGGTAGACTCTTTCTCGGAAAAACTTACTCCGGTTGTTATCTTTGATTACACTGTTTTAACACGCAATGCTGCAGATATCTACGGTGTATATATATATATACTTATATATATACCAACTATATATATATATATATATATATATCTGAATATATATCTGAATATTAAAGACAATAAGTGAACGCGATAACCAAGTTTGGTGCCGATACTGCGGTGATTTTGTACATACAACGTACAGAAAGAGAATGGAGAGACGGTATATAAGTATGTATCCCACAATACATATATAATACTGTATGTCCAATGAGTCTGTCTATATACGGTCTCTAAACGTCGCATTCTCACCTTTTGGTTCATCACGGAGACTATAGATCGCTTGTCGAGTTTTCCACGGTCGAAATTACCGGAGGGTGTATCGTTCGCGACCACTCGCTGTCTGGAATCAGTCGGATCTTCCGAAGCTTTCCTATCAGTTGCCATATTACTTATCTCTGACGTTATATCACCGATAAAAGGAGAGTCAAGGGTGAGGTTCACTTATCAATTTGAACGTTGTTAACCTTCGTATCGATTATTGGTCGATCGTATCGGCCTTTCGTCCTTTGTTAACTGTATCGTGGTGGTGAAATTCATGTTACTGTTAGGAGCCTTAGAAAAAAAACGGCCCTTTTCAATTTCTACTCGGAAAGAAACCGGAGAAACCCGTGGAAAATTGGAGAGATTCGGCTTTTTTTTTTCTAAATTTTTTCATTCATCCGAGGAGGGAAACCAAGAGAACCCGCGGGAAAATTAAAAAAGATTCCGAATTTTGTCCAAGTCTTTAAAACTGTAGCTAATACGACGTAAAACTCTCGTCGAGTTCCGGCTTAGATATTTCTGGATCGAACGAGTACGTAGTCACTATCCATGCATCGTAAACGCTGGGTTAAAAAGTTAAAAACTTCTTTGTTAGTTAACTCTCGGTATTGTGTAACCACCTGATATTTAACAACTTTACGCTGAACTTTTCACGCGCCAACGCTCGCAACTGTCAAACTGTCGGATGTAGTCGCGAGTAAGGCGATACAGGAATATCTGAACGCGATCCTTTCAACCTGGGAACGCCTAAATTAGACCGGGACGACGTCGATTTATATCGACGAGCGTATATTTAACGCCTCGAGTCTGTATATTCGTGGTACGTGAAATTATCAGACCGAAATTGACGCTTTCTCGAAATACGCAAGATAAACGTTCCGGGATCGGTGACCAATCGTAAATGACACTGTCGTAAACTGTCGGTAACGCGCGTTATCACCGCGATCAAACGCGCTACGGTTGTTATACCGTTTGCATCATGCTTTGTTTTCCCTCATAGAACGTCCCTGAAAGATTAACCAACTCTCTTGTCTTTCTCTCGCTTCCTTTCTCCCTCTATCTAATCCTGCCATACTTCGTGCACGATCGATGCTAAGAGGCGACTTCGCCGAGGTATCTCGTCGCTGTGAGATCTCGCGCGAAGAAGCCGGAAACGTAGAACAATCTCCGTACGGTGTCCGAAAAAAGAAACCTCAACGCCAGACACGTACGCGAGGGGACGAGTCAAGGACGCCGTTCGGACGCGCATTACAATGACTGGATGAAAGAAGCGTACCTGATAGGCGTAAGGTGTGCAGGGTACGTAGAATTCTCTGCTCATAATAGACGGGACGCCTGCGGGCGGCGATCAAGTCCAGCTGACGGGTCCTTCGGCAAGTGTCAAAACGCCGGTGGCGCCATCTCCGTCTCGGCCGTGCTGCTGGAGGTCGTCAAGCTGTCACGCGAGCAGGCAGGATCACCGAATCCTCGCGATTCCGAAGGCCATTCCTGGCCGGCGGCGGAGCTCATCCACGTAACCGCGGATGCACGTAGGTGCGCGCGCGAAGTCACGCGACGCTACGTTCAGGCCGTTCGCGGGCGTCGTCGGCGAGCGTACGACGACGAGGACGACGAGAACGACGGTGACGAGGAGACGTCAAACGTGGGGATTTATCTATCTCGACTCGCGCGACTACTCACTCAAGCACACCAGACTGTACAACACACTGTACAAATACACCTGACGCAGTCTCACCGTGTAAGTTGGCCCGATTCGAACATGGCGCACCTCGGCCGAGACTGTCCGCGCGAGGGAAGACGACGCGCTGACGCTCCGACGGAATCGCGTTGTTCGCGAGACTGGCAGACCAGGGCCAACCCGAGCTTGGCTGCTACGCCATTTTCGCCATGGGCGCACGGCGTTCTCTCGGGTACACGCGCGTGTCTACTCACGACGAACCACCACTGTTCGCGTCCACTGGCAAGTGCCGACTGTCCGTCAGTCGTAAGAACCGACCGGACCCGAGAGCTACCGAAGCGCGCGCGACTCGGCGCCACCTTCGCGCCGCTCGCCGCCACCACTCGGCCGGTAAATCAGACGCGAAATTCGCCAAATTTGTGTATGATTAGAATTTGTGAGTATGTGAGCGTATTTACGTTTAAAATATAATATTCTACGCGTGAACGATATAAACTATGCATAATACGTCATTTATACAGACAATAAGTAATTTATGAATCGTTGTGGAATGGCTCTTTTTACATTTCGCAAGTCTTATTTTTATACTTTGTTTCTGTGAAAAGCTCACAGGTAAGCTTGGAGGTTACATTTGTATATCAACACGTTATTTTGACGACAATTTGAAAATGTGTCGTACAACGGGAGATCCATAGATGATAAATCGCTTGTTAATTTTCAGACTCACCAATTCTCAGTGAACCATTCGGGAGAAAATGTTTGTATACAGGAAGTATGCGAAGTATATATAAGTGTTTATATACAGTCTACATACAGGTAGACAAGAAAGTCGTTTTGTTGACGTTAGCCGTCGCGCAGCAAGGATTCGCGCTGCAAAGGACGCACGGTGTGTCATCGACACGCACGCGAGGTGGCTGCTCGGAGGAAGGATGTTTCTTCTTTTTGTCGGATTCAATAACGATATTACGCGGCACCAGAATCTTGTCCCAAGGGATCTCAACGTCGTCGGGCGCGCAGACCTCTTTCCTCGGCGGCCTTATTTTCATCGGCTTCTCCAGGAGTAGATCGCTCCATGGGATCTCCACGGAGGAGTCGCAGATCTCTGGGTCGTCCGTGACGCGTGCGACTTTCATAGTCTCGGTGATGAGTAGATCTCGCCACGGCAGCTTCATAGTGCCCGTGGAGGCTTCCTGCTCGATCACACCGGCCTCGTCGTCGTCGATGTCGGCCTCTTCCGCCTCTTCGCTTTCCCGGTCAGCCGTCGCGCCTACGTCGGGACGAATCTTCATACCGGCCACTGGCAAAGCGATGTCCCTCCACGGCAACTCGATCTTGGAGTCGCAGAGAACCGACTCGTCCGAGAACTCCCGGCGGAGGGAATGCATGTACGGCTCGTGCCAAATCTCTTCCTCCGTGTTGTACACAAAGGCCTGCCGTTTTCGCTTACTATGTTCCTTCTTTCTGTTCTTCTGATGCGCGTAGAGCTTGACGCGGCAGGAGCACTGTTGGAATCTCCGTTGCATCATGTTCGTCGTGATTGTGAACGGTGAACCCGGTGAACGCAGGTCGGCTCGTACTCGTCGATTTTGCCGGGTTTCCGTTAATCCCTCGACCTCATGTTGCGGGAGCGAAATGAAATCGACCGACGCGAAGGTGGCTGCGAAACGGCTCCGACGTGAGCGACACATGCGTGTGCAATAATAATAAAAAAATCAATTCGAGGGGATTTCTGTAACGGGTTCTCTCGTCGCGCGTCTCGTTGCGTCATTCGACTAGCTTTGTCGAAGAGGAACTCGGTGTGTCATTATCTCGCAGCCTCGAGTGTTTGAAACATGTAGTATTAATCGCGTAACGTCTTAATAGAATTGAGGAGAGGAATGCGAGGATAATGCGAAACATTTTCTTTCGCACGGATATCTTTTTCTTCAAAACGCGTTCGTTGCAGGAAACCGGTTATCGTGTGTACAAGGGAAAATCATAGCGCAATGACTCAGAACGGATATCATATCTCGTAATGAGTGACGCATTCATGTACGATTGATGCACTTCTTATTGCAAGTAAATATCAAATATCTGCCCCTTGAAAAAAATAACTGATCGAGCATTCTCACTCGTTGCTTACGCGGTAAAACATTTCGCGCTGAATCTAACAAATTGTCCCAAACGGTCCGCGCAAAATCTTTCTGTTAATTTAATGCGAGCTGAATGTGTTGGAAAGTAAACGCCAATATGTCGGAAATTAACACGAAATTAATACACGTTAATATATTAATCGACATTGAAGTGTAAAAGTTGCTGACACTTACGCGTGTTGAATCGACTCAATGCAAAATATATTGAGATATCGCAAGCTCGATATATTAATTATTGACACGCATGTATGTCACAAATTTGAGACAAAAATGTCAACAAGAACCGACTTCAACGCAAATACAAAATGCCTTTCACCGTATACAAGTTGTTCTCTTACGGAACGTGCATTGAGACACGAGAAAGTCTTATTAAAATATGGTGATATATTTGCCACGCGTGCACGCGCATGAGTAAGCTTGTTTGAAATGTTCGATGACGAGGTGGACAAAAGGTCGCTTCCGCCGGAACGGAGCGTTTTAAATGTTCGTGACTAAAAATCGATAGCCCCGATCGACGGGTAAATTTATTTACGCTCTCCCCGGTGCCGAGACGCCGAGGCTTGCGCGAATCTCCTTGTTTTGGGTAACGCGAGAAAGAGAGAGACAGCTCATCTTACTTTCGATTCGTCCTACGAGGGTACAGCGCGCGATACCGTGCGCGCGATTTATCGCCGAGACGGAACAGCCGGAACAGCGCTCTGCGTCATCTGCCGGCGGCGGCGCGTATAAGCTGAAAAATCCGCTAGTTGCCGATAAAAGGAAATCCGCGGTGGCTGTTGGCCGGTTGCACGATTGAAGAGCGCAAGCCGCCTCGTGGAAACGTTTTCGCTCCCGACGGGAAGTGCCGCGATAAAAACACGTAGGACAGTCCGCAGCCCGCAGGAAGTCTCCGCGCCGTCCGTTCACGCGCCCGCGAAGTCGTCGCCCAGCCTAACCACGCACCACGAGCTTTTTGACAGTGCGCTTGACCAACGCAGTAAGGCTACGTTTAGAAAGCAGCCATCTTGCAATACCTAATCAAAGATCCACGGCTAGCGGGTATCGCTGTCTGGTTTGTGACCAGTTAATATCAACACACAGTTCGTCAAATGGCTTTAAAGCGAATTAATAAGGTACGTGGAGGCCCGCTGGCGTTCGTGCCACGCCACGGCACAACGGGCGTCGTCGCGTCGTGTATCCGAGTCCTTTCGTACGCCCATAACGATCTCTCGCACGGCCAGTGTGCGGAGCAATGTGAGCGAGCGCCTGAAAATCACGCCTGGCTCTTGAACACGGTCTCCCTTCGTTGTCGCCGTCGCCAAACGGCGACGTTCGTACGACGCCTCTCCTGCGAGCTGTTCGCGAACGCCAACGGAGCCGCTCTCTCCAACGAGTCTCTCTCGCCGCCCCTGCTCCAACCCCGGGCTCGTCCGCGATGACAGTGAGAACCTGCGGGATTTTGTGTGGACCTGGTCCGATAGATCGCCGGGAATAACGCGCGACCGTACGCCCCGCGTCCGTATACGTGTGCACGCACGCCGGCCTGTAGATTCTTGTTTGGTGCTCGTCGCTGGTCTCTTGTGCCTTTACGTCGTACCCCCCCAATTCTATGTCTCTTATGTGCTATATTCCTAGTGGTTTGCTTTGAGAATCTCGTTGTGTGACTGCAGAGCACATTGGTAAAAATAGGATATGTTACTTTGGCCACAGCGAGTCACCACAGGATGACTGTCGTTGATTTTACTTGTCGTTTGTATCATTGATCGGAGAACGTACTATGGTTATACAGCAGTGAAGGCTGTAAATTCAGTTTTTTAAAGATAAGTCTGTGCAAGATACAACAGAAAGTGGCAATCTGTGTGTCTCATCTTTGTCAATGTTTTGTGAAAATTATCTGATACGATCTTGGTTTGAGCGGGACACTTTAGTAGTGCAATATACTATATCGCTCATATTTGTATGTTTTTGATTCTTGTGAAGATACAGATGAGGACATCAGAGATCTTGTAGCTTCATTTCAGGAAGAAGTCAACATCTTGAAGCAATATGTTATTTGCTACCATACATGCATTGTAGAACTATCTAGAAGGTTTCTTATATACGTTGTCACACAAAGAAATATTGGCATTGTGTGTTGGAAATGTTGCAATAGGATATTAAGAAACGATGAATAATATCTTTATTTTGTATTTATGTTTTGTCTAATTGGAAACGTGCTACATGCTATGTAATATTTTGAAATTTCTTGCGTGACGCTACTTAACCTATTTATAATTTCAGGAACTTCAGGACCTTGGTAGAGATCCACCAGCGCAATGCTCCGCTGGGCCTGTAGGAGACGATTGTAAGTATTAAGGTTATTCTCACAGTAAATAAAAGTATTTAGAGTAGAATAATATGAGTGGTGTACTTTAATATTTCAAGTTATCAACGACAGATTTTGTGAACTGTGTATATTATTTTGAATACATTATTCCATTGTTAGATATTTATTTATATTTATTATTTTTAGATATTTTTTATAGAAATATTTTGATCTTAATATAAAGCTTGTATCATGTACTGATTTGAAGAGCTCATTAATTATGTAGAGGGAAATAATGATGATAATAACCAATGTATAATGATTTAGTAACATAATTATATAAATTGTATGTATCATATGAAAGTGTGATACATGATTAACTTAGTATAATATCGTATTGCCTAATATTTTTTTTCAGTATTCCATTGGCAGGCAACTATCATGGGACCAGTAAGTGATACATATTTTTATGCAAATTGTGATATCTTTCTAAGTTTGTTTTATATACAAGTCCTTCTAATATCTTTAATGTATATTTACTGGTATTATTATGCGCTTTGTACTTTCCTACTAATCCAATAATCTATTGATTCACTTCGAATGAAATGATTCTGATAAAAACACATAGCATTAGAAATATAAAATACTAAAAGCACAAGTATTAATATGCTAATAGCATACAGATGATTTAACTATAGAACTTTTAAAACATTGGAACTTGAAATATTCTTTCAGCCTGATAGCCCGTATCAAGGAGGAGTATTTTTCCTAACAATTCACTTTCCCACAGATTACCCGTTCAAACCACCCAAGGTATGTAATGTTATGTAAATGAAACTTTTAATTTTATATTACGGAAAACAAGTCGAACAAGGTTGTGACTGCTAATATCTGACCGTTCTTTACAGGTGGCTTTCACGACTAGAATCTATCATCCCAATATCAACAGTAATGGAAGTATTTGTTTGGATATTTTAAGATCGCAATGGTCTCCTGCGCTCACTATATCAAAGGGTATGTACATCCTTTCTGTATGTGATAATACACGTTCAGAGATATTTATTTAACAAACAGACAAAAAGAACCATTATCAACCATGTTGCAGTGTTACTGTCAATATGCTCCTTGCTGTGCGATCCAAATCCAGATGACCCATTGGTACCAGAGATAGCCAGGATATACAAAACTGACAGGGAGAAGTACAATGAATTGGCACGTGAATGGACGCGCAAGTATGCCATGTGATGCGCCAACCTCCGTTGACCTCAACACCCAGACACCACCAAGAAACAGCCCCAGCCTATTGCCACTTATGCATCAGCACCGATTGAAATTAGCTATGGCTCGTCTACTTTTAAACTTAAGCCAGTATTCGGGCTCGAGGAATCCTCAGGCAAACGTGATCGATTTCAACTTTCCCCGGATTGGGAAGCCCGCGAATATTAAGACGTTGCCACACTACGGCAATCGAGGCAATTTTGAAGGTGGTCACCCAGCATTATATATATAAATCAGACAACAAAACATGTCCGCTTTGATTTTCGTAAATAAAAATATGGAAGTAAAATATAGGAGAGTGAAAGTAGGATTTGTATTTGAATTTTCATAGGTTGATTTCCAATTATTGCGCTTACGATAATAATTGTAACGTTATGATACCTACTTTCTCAGTGGAATGAAAAACCTCGAACTGACAGCACATCGATTGTTAGTTTTTAACGCAAGTGAGCAATGTTTGCCCGTCCCTTGGAAACGATGTGGTCACTCTTTTGTAAGACTGGGCTATATATATAAATACTACTGAAACTGTACGTGTATGCTTTGTTCAATCATTAAAATTCCTCACACCTGTCTTAACAAATTCTACGAGTAGCTCGAAATCTATGCTTTGGTTCCTGTGTGTGTGTACGTAGTATAATTTATAATTATGCATATCGTTGAGATCGGCAAATGACAACCGTACAACTTTAAGTAATGTCGGAATTGTGCAAACACTAGATACAAATTTCGTCTAATTGTCTGACCCCCCCCCCTCACTACCACCACCCCCTGACGTGTGTACCTGCAGTTCGTGGGTCCGTAGGGTGTACTGTGTGATTTACTGGGAGCGAGCGAATCGCTCGTCGCACGAATTCGCAATCATTTCGGCTGTCAGTTTGGCTTTACGCTGATGCGGGAAACGTAGTCGTTGGTGTCACTGTTTATCGAATAAATGATATAAGAGAGCGATCAAGTTCTGACTATTTAAATTTATACACCGGACCGCGTTAGAAATTAGACAAGTGTGTCGGAAGCGCGAGGAGAGACCTCCACGCGGATTTCTAAAGTCCCCCGGCGCACTCGTCTCGTATTAGTGCATGATTATACGCTGCTAAGTTTGTACGTCGCGCTCTGCGAGCCGGGATTTCGCCGACCGGCTTGGTTGCTTGTCGCGACGTTTTACTCGCATCAATACTTTTACTATTGTTTTGCGTGCAGGTGTTTTCTTTAAAACAGCGATTTTTTTTATTATAATTATAATTATAATTATTATTATTTAGTTGTCGTAACCAGGTGTTTCCTTTCATCCACAATATAACGCGCGTGCACTTGGCGACAGGCGATCGTATTGTCCATTGCCGGACGGACGATAGACTTAAATAGAACCTGTTATTTAAACATTGCGATTTCAATATTGTATTTCTGATATATTGTGGCTGTAAGGGTAAGGCAATGTGATTTCACACATTATTTCTTAAAATGAACTTAGCTATATACAAAATGAACAAAATGTGTTGTTAAATTGCGAAGTGTCATTCAGCGGTATAGTTCGTTTAAGATTATATGAAACTACATAACTTGCACTGTTTGATGGTGCTAGCAGTGTTTTGGCTTCTAATCATAGATAAATAAAATCTAATACGTCATAAAATATGATTACTTAATTAGTACGTAAGAAGAAAAAAAAAATAACGATTTTGTCTTGCGAATCATGTAAAGCGCGTTAGTGCGAAGTCTCGATGTAATCGGTGCTTAAACATGGCAAGTCGATGGGGCGACTAAGGGAATCTAGAGAAGACAAATCGAATTAGTATGTAATGCGGCGGCCCGCTCTGTTTACGCCGACCTTGTCTTACGCATACGAACGTGTATTGCTGTAATTTAATTACGAGTGAACGCGTCAAATCTGGTATTTAAAGGAGTTAGCTCTCGAAAATTGATCATCGTTCACCTCTCTAGTAGAAGATGACTATGTGTAATTAATTATTACTACCGCAATAATGAACATTTTTAATAACTTATCTTGTGTACATTTTAGCATTAGCCCTTTATATAATAAAGTCCACGTGATATGATAAGGTATATATAGGTAATATACTTCTTTCCTCGCGTCCGATCGTGTAGATCCGAGCGCGAGCGCGATAAAGGGATCTAATATCGCGATACAACGGACACGTCTCGCGTTATGTAGCTCTCGTATTCCCCACTGTACAAGTGTCCTGTAACGAAAGACTCGCGTGATAATTGCTTCGGCGAATTCCCCAGCGAATAATATTGTATCGACGTTTTCCGATCTCCTTTGGAAATGCCTCGATTATTTATCCGTGCGAATCTCTGTGAATTCGAAATTGAATTTTAGCCACGTGGTTTATGCGAGAGTGGCTCAAAATCGCGACCCATCTGAGCGGTCGCGTCTCTTCTTTCAACGATGCTCCTGAAAATTATGTTATTTGCGATCTCTGAAATTTTTTGCGCTCCAATACGATAGGACACGGAAAACGCTTGTTAAAACTGTAATTGAAGTTAAATTGGTTTCAATAGAGGAATGAACTCAAAAGTAGTACGCGGAAGAGAACGTTATATACGAGATGACTGAACGACGATCTGTTAAAGTCAAACAGAAATGGGTCATTCGCAAGCATGGGTCACAGATTAGAAAGAAACACACACACACACACACACACACACACAGAGAAAAATGTGTGTCTCAATATATGTCGTCTATAAAAACATGATTTATGAAAATATTGTTTTGAGAACCAATTGGTAACAAGGCGGAAAATGCAGAGCGAAGCTTCCGAAAGAGGACCGTGGAGACAAATAAAACCAAATCATCATCGAGATACGAAGAATAATGTCGAGAAGTAACGCGCGTGTTGCCGGTGGAAATTGGATTATCGCTTCGAAGAATTAGTAATTGCCCTGTAATTATCTTCTATATCGTGTGTCGCTTATATAGATATATATCGCCGAGTTGTGTTGCAGGTCCGGTGTCGCGATAGCGCGAAGGCCGCCCGGCCGATCCTGATACACAGAGAACTGTACGGCTACTCGCACTGTCCGAGTGCAGTGAAAGTGCGGCGCGTTTGTGTCCCTCTTCGCAATCGTAACGCGCGCGGAGCGGAGGAGAGGACGATCGGTTCCTGGACGCGCACTCCTCACGCAGGACGCGCCTCGGAAGCGACCCTGGCTGACGTCGTCGCCGCCAACGTCGCCATCGCCGCCGCCGCCGCTGCCACCGCCACCACTGCCGTAACCGCAGCCGTTTCGCGATCTGCGGCGGGATCCACCGCCAGTGCTTTGCCCGGCGCGCTCGGTGCGGTCGATCGGAATCGCGACCTGATACGCGGCGGAGATTCGCTCACGCACAGTACACCGGTGCGCCGATAGACCGCCGACCACGACGTCGATGAGTCCCCGTTCCTCCGACTGCCGATCGCTCCCCGAGGTACGTGGGTACTGTTCATTCAAGTGCGGAAATCGGCGCGGAGGGCAAGTGACATTTCGACTTTGTTGCCTCTTCTGCGAGCGAGATTTCGTTATTAATTTATTCATATATTTTCATCTTCGCGGAAATATGTTGCGCTCGTTACATATGCAAATGATGTATAACGCGCGACCAAATGGTAAGGAAAGAAAAGATTTTTTTGAGATTTGTCGCAATACCGTGGAAGACGATTGATTCTATTCATCTCGTTACGTGAGATGAAAAACAAGTTTTTAGGAGCACCGGTATGATGTTTTTTTCCCCCCCCCCCCATAAACGCCAACCGACAAAAACATTGTTCTAATTTTCTACTCGACGGCTGTTATATGAAATGCTATATAAATGTTATATAAAACGCACGTTATATTGCATTTACGTTATTGAGTGGGAAATTGTAACACTGATGTGACGTTTCTGTTAATTAGTTGGTGTTTACTGGGTTGTCTGTCTCCTTGTAAAATTTGCTACGCGTCAGTTGATGACAAAGAGAGAGAGAGAGAGAGAAAGTATTTGTGCACACACCACGATGCACGTATTTAAACTTACATTCTGGAGCGAAGTTGATACCTAAATAATTGGATGAATGAATCAGTAACAAATAAACCCCGTGCCGAAGTTAGCACCGTTCGCACACCTCGCTCGATGAACTCAATGTCAGCTTATTCCCGAGACATGGCGCTCTCTACAATACGTAATAGGACTTTGTCCCTGCAAATCCGAGGAAGTGACCTGTAGACGTAGCATCGATAAATGATTAATTCCGCTGACGCGTTCGCAAGTTGTCGGTCTAACTTGTCGCATGAATCGCATGATAATGGGCACGTGATAGCGAAGCATTATACTCGCGGTCATTCGAAATCTATTTTATTGTGTTGTCAATCGGAGACCCCACATGCAGCAGCGATAAAAGAAAACCTATTGTGTGTGTTTAATTTATCAGTATTTATCAACGATTTCGCGAATAAGGCGAATTTTTGCGACAATTAAACATTTGTTACAGATCGATCTGATATCGATCTCATTGCGACATGGCGATTTTGATCGATCGATCGTGAGCATCATGGAGCGCGAAGTTGCAACAATGCAGAACAATACACGTTCGCTTTTGTTCTCGATACTTGTTACTTGATGATAAGAATATACTATTTATTATACAACAATTGAGATAACATTCAATACGTATCAACAAACTAACGACGAAGTAGAGTTCTCGCGTACAATGTAGACGGATGCAAGTATATGCAAGATTTATTTCCGCTGAAGAAGCAGGTTTCTCCGGCAGGAAACTTAACGCAAAAAAGAAAGAATTTCAAGGTTGACTTATTTATTTGTACGTCTTGTGTTTCAATTTTCTCGCAATTTAAAAGAAATTATAGTAAGTTATAGTGTGAAATTGATTGGCCTTGCTACATATTACTTATTTGCAATTTTCATGACCCATTTACATAAATTATTCTTCCTCCCAGTTACTTCCAAATGGTTGACTTTTTGTTCTTCAGTAAAGTTCTTGTGTATAGGTGACTTGAAGGTTGGTCGTTAAATCGTTAATAATAAAAAAGAACATTATTTCTTAGCAGATCTAAATATAGAAATAAATTATTCAATAGATGGTATATCAATAAAAAGTGATCTTCAATAAAAAGTCATCTTCAAAAGTACGTGGCAGATTTCTCGCGTTTACGGGTATTGTCATTAATGATGCATAAATACAATGTATGTTATCATTTGTCGGTGCACTCTTTCATTATATTCTGCGTGAGATTATCGAAAATCGAAACCGTCCAAACGGCGGAACGGTGGAAAATTTTGTTAAAAATCACAATTATCACAAACGTTACGCATATACGCTTCCCGCTATTTCCCGCTTGTAATGGTGAAAATATTATCTGTGCGATCGTACTTTTCACCGGGTGTAGACGTACGATCTCAACGGATTCCAAGGAGCAACTTCGACTTTCTCGTAGATTAGACGTCGCGTGACGTAGAGAGAGTGAACAGCACAATCTCTTTCCTCTCCTATCTCTCTTCTCTCTCTCTCTCTCTCTCTCTCTCTCTCTCCTTCTCTCTCTCTTTCTCCTTCTCTTTCGCAGTATCCAGATAAAAAGCCAACTAGGACATCACGAATCTCGGAGCACATCTGGTTTTGCCCACTCTTGACGCTAGTCCGCATGTTAGCGGTCTCACATGTTCCCGATTTACCTTGGCAAAGTTGACGACCAGAGATTTCCACGTAAAGTCGAATATCAGTTCTCATTATTGCTTCTGGTTCAATCGGGCGTTTTCTAATCGGTCAATTTCGAGCGGCATGCTCGAAAGTGAACCGCGAAACTTCGCGGTTTTCTTTAAACACGGCCTTCGCGACTTTGGCGCGCGAAATCACTACATCGGCCGGTCTACCGGTTCTCTGTACGGGTGCAAGTAAATTCGCTTCTCCCCAATTAGGCCGCCTCGCGTAAGAAGGTATTTCGCAGCTTACGACGGTTTTTGCCTTGCCTTTCGTTCGCGAGGGGCAGTCTCCTTTCGCGAGAAAGTTGCGCGTTACCGGTATCGTACAAAACAATAAATTGCAAATTAGACTCTCCTTGTCGAGATTCAACGGAAAATATTGGGAAAAACGTAGAATATATGTGCTTGACGAGCCTGAGCGAGAACACAACCGAGATGTCGTAGAAAAACCGCTCCAGCAATGGGAGTAGGTTACTTAACCGAACGTCGGTCGGAAGTAATTCACTTCCGATCTCTCTCAGAACTAATGTTGCGAAAAAGCGCGATACCGTTTAAGTGATGATGAATGATTAACGACTCGAGAGGAAACCCTATCAATTTAAACACAAACACACTTTTGTTTATGCATGCGGCATGCTTTCAAGTGACCACCATATGCAGTGAGGGGTTTAATCGCCTGAATGCATTACTTCTATTGACTTTAACTTTTTGATTTCCTTTCAATTTTAGATCGTTTATTAAAACAAAACAATTATACTCACAGCTGTCTATATACATCTTACAATTTGCGTTAATCGAGATTTTGCAGCTTTTCCCACTAATCAGGACGAATCTTGTTTGATAACGCGAGAATATTTCCGTGACCATTGCTACGTACGGCTGTCCGTCAATCATTCTGTCATTATGTCTTTCAGGAAGCAGGTGTCGTATAAAAGGTTCACGCTGCTTCAATGATGAAACTACTTGCGGGTGTAGAGGAGGTTAGCGACCACTGTGAAAAAGAGCCCAATAATGGCCAAGTGCATAACAATAATAGTCATGAAAAGCAATCTGCAACGGAATTGGCGCAAGAAGCGAGTAAGCCGCTCGTCAACAAGGTCAGTCAACGTTCGTCTCCGTTCATAACGCCTCTTCCTTTCTCCCGTGATGTGCACAATTCCAACTAAAATCTAAATTAACTCTAGCTTGGCACTCATGGGTCAAATTGACTCCAGCGAAAAATTAACCCTCTAATGGCAAGGTGGTTTTTCAACGTATCCGGGAAAGTAGGATTGGATCTGACTTCGTGTTTTGTTTTATTCATTTCTCACGTAATCAATGTACAAAATGAATAAAAGAAATAAATAATAACATGAAACATTCCTTAAGGAGAGAAACAGCACGTGCACGTTGTAAAATGAACGAGCCGTGGGGTTGCATCTGATCTCAACCTTATCGTTAAAGGGTAAAATTCCATAGTTATTGAATCTTGAATTATCGCACATATATAATACATAGAACTCTTTTCCAAAGTGTGCAACAATTTTTATTTCTTTCTATATAGAATTAATACAGTGACTTTTTTAATATCTCGTAAATTATCTATTTTAAAAATAATGACAATTTTTTCAAATTTATCTGAATTTTGTGTATTTAAAATTATAATATTTGTGCGATGAAAGTAAAATCAGGAATAAGTGCGAGTGAACATTTTTATACGGAGAGTAAAAAGATATCTAATAAATGAAACATATTTATTTATATATACATGATATACATATTTTTAAATATCGGAAAAGTTACTCGCAGATCCGATGTGCCAAATTGCAGCAAGCAGCAAAAAATAAGTATGCCAATGAAAGGTTGAATTATACGGAAAGAAAGAATTAGCTCTCACAGATAAAAAATAATTATCCATTTAATACAACTGAAACTTAATGTTTAGTCTAGTTTTTAGCTGTGAAAGCTAATTACTTTTCTCCGTGTACGACCATAGTCATAAGATGAATTAGCTTTCACAGCTAAAAACTAGGTCTGATCACTAAATCTCAGTGTTTATTATATGGACAACTAGTTTTTAACTGTGAGAGCTCATTTTTCTTCCTGTACGGAGACATTCTCGAAAACGTTGAAATAAATTTGAAAGCAGTGGAAAAAAGGAAAAGAGAGAATTAATCGTACTCCACACAGTTCGCGAGGTTTGGCGTGCCACTGCGGACATTAGCTATAAAAGGTACACATTGTGGAAAAGCCGCGTGCAATCAATAGTTTGATTCAAAGACGGTAGCGCCATACTGGACATTATGGTCGATGTGCTCCATTTCTCGTCAACGTCATCCGCTTCCGTTTTGCAAAACCAAGACACGCGGCTGCGGCTTTCTAGGTTACGTGATAATTTCTATAATTTTGTGCTTCTTCTTTCGTGCACGTATGTGTGCTGCATGCCGATTAAACAGGACTTGTTCCGCGTAGTCGTCGTGAAGCCTGACGTTCTAAACAAAAGCCCGAGACCGCGTACGGATACGCGAACTATCATTGGCGATTCTCCTTTGTGCCATAAATATTTGCAATCCGTTGATAAGCGTATTCAGAGAGAGAATTAGCCGTCGGAACTGAAATATAACTGTGACAATGAAGATATATCTTTGAAATAGCGATAGTACTAATGTCGTTGCTACCGTCGTCGCTAGATTTTATTACCTTTTTGAATTTAGGCGCCATAACGAAAAATATCAGCTAGATTAGTGTTAAAATAATACATCCCCGACTAGAAATATATCGCATACTTTAATAGAAGCTGTCTTTAAGGAAGTCGTAAGGCCCAGTGTTGTATTCTCAGTGACATATCAAGCCTAGATAAAATATATAATGACGATGATATCAAAATAATGTCAGAATGATGACAAAATGATCGAAAAGTGAGTTTTTATAGTTATTTCTGCCATTTTGACATCTCATTATTATTCTATGTTCTACTTGAAAGGAAGCCACTCATAAATTTAATATTTATCAAGCAAAATATCACATTTTTATACATTTATTTCAATAATCTAAATAGTAAATGTTAAATTGAAACAAAGTTAAGGTAAACACAACATGCATACACAATATTACAAATATAAAAATATAATTTTTTTTATTTTTCTTATAATGCTATATTATAATTAGATAATATTTCAATGTATACGTAGTGTAAGTTTCATTGAATCCTCATCAAACTCATTTTATCTTACAACCTTCTTAAGATGTTGGTGTATAATGATTTAGTCTAAATCTTAGCCACTTATTTGGTTTATTGGTTGATACTATATTGTATCTGAAGAGCACGCTTAGGTACTAATGGACCCGAAACTTTAGATTTCTAAATAGTGAAGTTATTCACTTTAGATATAGTTCAAATAATTTAAGACATCTCAAGTTGTCTAAAGGATGTTTTTTAAACGTACGTTTTTTTAAATATAGTTGTTTAGGAGAAAAACTTTATTAATGCTGTCTTTTTTCCCACTCGGATTCACACGTTCGATGATTCGATGAGGAATCCGATTGAACTCGTGTGGAGCTTAATGTTCGATTTGATATTTGTATGACTTCGTCATGATATCTAAAAGATATCATATAGACGTTGACAATCGAGTTATCCAGTTAAACAGTTCATATCATATTCACATTAAGCTGATATATGGATATAACGAGTCGACTGATACCGACTAAATCATGAATGATCAGTTGATACTTATATGATGTGACATTTATATGTGTGTGTACATGATGTTCTACATATTATATAAATAGCTAGATGTCAACTATACATTGGCATGATATTAAAAAAATATAAAGTCGATCCTCATTTGCATATCATTGAAAAATCTAATAATTATCAAAAATCCGAAAAATTTGAAAAATCAGTCAAATTCAAAAAATCAATCATCGGTATCGAAACGATCATCGCCTTGTAAATCTGGATGAGCATGGTAACATTCAAATTTCCAACTATGCCTGTTATTTTTAAATGCTCGTGTATCACGACTGCTGTTTTGTCATCATTACCGATTCATTAAATTCTCAACAGTCACGATGTATAAATATTAAAAATGATGAGCTCGATTGGAAATCTCCGATGTTACTATGCTTAAGAAATGGGACAGTGTTTATGGAGTCTTCTGCATTACACCACTTCGATTTATATAAATATGTTTTATATTATCTATTCATAACCGGCACAGCTAATTAAATTTCAGTGAATAAAGTTGTGTATCTCGCAGCAAATGCATATTTTACCTCTGACAGCCAACTTTCAGCAATGACAGCAAAGTTCGATCCAGCTAAAGAGATGAAACTGCTATTATCAAGTTATTTCTCCGAGTGCAGGTGGAGAAGGAGAGGAAAAAAGAAATCGACATTTAACCTTAGGCAGCGAGTGCTCATTACAATAATGGTAACTCGCTGCCTTTCACGATATTACATTCTAGAAAGAGATCAAACATTACTCTTTGATTACTCCTATTGTATCACGACCGGTAATTGTCCTGATCGCGGCGGTGGCCGTTGCTCCACACGCCAACGACGGGAATCGATTTCGCTAGTTTTAGAGTCTGCGGCACCGAGAGGAAAGCGGACTGCGTAAACTTGACACACTCGGATGAAAGGCAGGTCCCGTTGTGGCCTACTTACCGCTTTCGTATCTTCTTAAGATGTGGTGTGACTGAAACGTTCTTGCTCGTGCAATCCTTGTGCGAAACGGCGCCGTGTGGGTCGTGAGTAGTATTTCCCACATTCTGCGCTCATCTCGCTGCTCGGCCCTTCCTCAATTTACTCAAATGACTCTGTGTCCTTCGTCGGTGTATTAATCCCAGTGGACGATCTACGACGGACAGCGTCTTATTCGAGTTATGTTTACTAATGTTATTATTATTAAATTGGTTATTTGCGATTCGATTATCTCTTAATTTCTATTTCGATACTATATTTGATAATTTCTCACTAGAAGATGAATCGTGTGTTAATAGAATGTACATGATGCAATTCATCTTGTATATACTTAGAGAAATGATTTAATGATGCTGGCAGCTAAATTTCGTTAGCTAATTCGATCTTTGCTGTTGTTGCTAAAAGTTGGTTATTAGAGGTAAAATGCATTTTCTACGAAGTGTAATTTTATCAGCTAAAATTATTAGTACAAGTAACTAAGACTAATGGCTAGCTGCACCCTCTCCCTCCCTCTTTTCCTCCCTCTTCCTCTCTCTCTTTCTTTCTTTCTTTCTTTCTTTCTTTCTTTCTTTCTTCTTCCTTCCTTCTCTCTTTCCGTTATACTATGTATAGACAATGTAAAACGCGTTTATATTAATCGACGAAGTAATGTAGTCACCTAAAGTGATTGACTCATTATCCGAGATTTTGAAGTCCATCAGTGCTTAAATGTATTTTTCAAATACGATATAATATTAAGTAAATGGCTAAATTTCATATAAACTCAGCATACGCTTAAGGACAGCTTGTATTACCAAAAATATCAATAAATTTCTAGTCGGAAATGTGAGTATGAATTTCGTACGATCAAGCTAACATTTTGTAGTTTGTGTTTAAACTCAAACAGTTAATAAATCTAGCTACAATAACAACGACGTTAGCAGTCCCTGTTTCAAAAACACGTTTTAACCACTACGGCTAAATTTCAGTTCCCATGGCTAATTTTTTTTCTAGTGAGTGCACTTACACGTAAAATATTACTTCCTTATTACTTCCTTACATCTACTTCCCGGAGTTTACAGAGAAATCTCTGTGAAATTTATAAATAGACGAAGAGGTCAAGTAGATCAACGAAAGACGCAAACTGTTAGATATTTATAACCCGTTATCTCTCATGTTTCACATCATTTTGTTATTTTGTTGATGCACTGAAATTACAGCTATATTATTATTATTATTTACGCAACGTAGGAAATTCGAATTAATGATGGAACGGTAATTTTCGTGAGCGATAACCGTGAATTTACGTAATTCGGGCGGAATTTTCCTTTTCTAACAATTACATCAGAAAATCAAGGAAAGACTTCATTGTTTTGTAAAGTCGCATCATCCCATTGTTAGAACGGCGAGTTTACATCGCAAGGAATGTCACGAATGAAAGCGACGAAAGCAGTTCGCATCGCTCGGAATATCGCGAGCGCGATGAAATGTCGTCACGCCTGCTTCTTATGTAAAGTATTTTTACGCGCATTATTACAATTTAGATCGATTACATGCACGAAGCGAGAAACGTCGTTTACATCCGTTCAGCATTTCGCCAACATTGGCCTTGTTAATTCGCGGATGTTTCCAACACACAAGTATTGACGTGAATTTCCCGTAGATTTCTCGCAAAAAACTACTTTACTCGTGCATAATTTATTACGCAATGCCACATAACATGATTACGTGAAACTTTAAAAAAATTAATGACGCGTGTCATATATATGCATCGATTTCTTCCGTAAATATTTTAATTAGGTACGTACTTTTATATTTTATTTAATTCCGTAGTTTTGTCGAAATACGTCGGGTAAAGGGCGAAAAGAAATAACCCGTAACGTTTGGCGTTTCATAACCCGGAAGTGATCAAGTTGTTTTGTCTTCTTGACTAATAAACATGCTGAAAATTCACTGTAGGATGAGATTTCACTTCCTCCTCGTGGTGGTGTAATCACCTCGATATCACCGCTCATCTTTTGCAAAAGATCCTTTATTTCAGATTTCATTTTATCATTGCACGAAAATGATCGATACTTCTCGACAAGAGCAGTCATCCAAACATTCGTCAAGATTTTACGCATGGATATGCTGAAAGCGTTTCGATTTTTCGATTTTGAAACAGGCATGTGACGACTCCACGGCCAAGAGGAAAGTTACGCCGGAGGAGGAAGACAAGTTGAGACGATTGCTCCTTTTCGACGAGGCGCCTGAATACCTTCGGTTCAATCCTTACATACGCAGTGGTTATCGCGGCTACCTGACCACCAAACTGTGCCTCGAGAGGTTGAGTTTCACATACCTTAACCATCCGCGATAAAACGGAGGCCTCGGGTCACGGTGGAAATAAAGAGAGAGAGATAGACCCGAGCGTAGGCGAGGTAGCAGCGCGCGCCACTTCACGAAAGCATTGCGTGTTTTAGCATATTTTGGTGGACAAACGAGACCGTGAATATATGGAGCCACATTTTCGGCTGGATGCTCTTCTTCGGTTTGACGCTGTACGACCTCTGTCTGCTGAATATCCATGCGCCGTTCAGCGACAAATTGATCGTGTCCCTGCTACTCCTTTGCTTTCAGGTAAAACACTAATCTGTTAAAGAAAATCACCAAAACTGATATAGAAAGTCGACAGGGTTTTGGTATCTACTTTCTCGAAGCGTCATTACTCCATCTCTCTGTACTTCTTAAAAAGTAGTTACTTACGAGACAATATACAGAGATTCTGGTATGCTTCGTACAAGCGCTCGTGTGAAAGTGGAACGGGTTAAACTGTGCAGAAAGTCCTCTACCATTTTGCAAACAACCACGCAAAATTTCGAGTTATTAATGATTGAAAATGAGGTATTCATTAATTAATAACTGAAAAGTTTGCGTGTTATTTGCAAAATGGTAAGGGACCTTTTTGTTCAGAGTGGCCTAATCTACAAGTATATGACTGTTGCACTGTTGCGACTGTTGCGACAGACATTAATATATTGAACATTGTACTTCGAGTCTCGTACTTATCGTTAGATAACCAGTCATTACATGCATTCTGATAGGAGAATATTGCCGTTTCACGTCCACGCACGTAAATTTTAATTCTACATTTTCAGTGGGGTTTTATAACCCGAAAACGAAATGATGTATCAGTCTTGGTGCTTTTCCCCTACTCGTTAACGCGATAAGACGGATAAATAAATAAAATTGCTCTAGGTGTGTATGATCCTCTCTTCCGTATACCACACGTTCTCGTGTCGAAGCGAGAAGGATTATTGGTGCTTCCTGTCCTTCGACCTGTTCGGCATCGCTCTAAGTATGCTGTCGATCTACATGTCGGGTGTTTACTACGCCTTCTGGTGTCATAAGGTGAAGCACATGTCAGCTATCTTGACGAAGTTCGTTGGCATGTTAATCCTTTCACTGATATTGATAGCCTATACCATATTCGACGAAATCGAACACCGTGGGCTATCGGTGTCAGTAGGTGCTTGGCATAACTACGTGAAACACACCGTCCAAGGATTGATTTATTCAGATCTTCCGACAAATTTTTCAATTTCTGCCACTTCAATCGCCGTTGTAAATTTTTCGTCCATAGTGCGCGCCTGTCATCATCGGCAGCGATTCGAAGAATCAAGAAATTGTGAATTGAAAGTTTGACACCTAAAAACCTTGTATCATGAAATCTCTCAAATTCACTTGCAACCTTCCTGGTCATTGTCTCCTCGTTATGTAAATTTTTCGGAGCAAGCGTAAGATATGCTGTGTTCGCGCGATCGTTTGACTCGTAATTCGGGCAGCCGACTCTCTGAGTTTCTTGAAGTGAAATCTTAAAAGAGTGAAATTTCATTCGAAGCCAAGCGAACGTTCCGGTCGATTAGAGTGAGTCACTTCCTAGGATGACACGTTAGATTCTCTCATCAATTTCGAGTGTGAACACATCGACTCGACGATTCGGAGCGAGGAATTCACTTTATATAAATACAGAATCACTTAAATTCGAATGACTGGACCGTTACTTCATACTATCCTTTCGAATGGGATTTTACTTCAAGAAGTTCGGAGAGCAAGTGATTACCGGAAATATTTCCAACAACGTGCCGATTTCATACGGATCGGCGGGAGTACCGCGCTGTCTCGAATCGGTGAACTCTTTGCAGGAGCTGCAGCGATTCTACCTGGTGACTGTGCTGGCGATCTTCATTTTTGCCATGGTGCTGCAAATACCCAAATTGAACATCAACGGCAACATCAAACTGGCCGTATTTGTCGGCTGGGCGATATATGGAGTGCTGCCAACGCTGCATTGGACCATAGCGATGGGTGGCTTTGACAATCCGATCGTCAGGATGCTGATTCCGAGGGTTATAGGAATGTATATTATTAACGCAATAGCGTTCGCGCTCTACCTGCTCAAAGTACCCGAACGTTTTTGCCCAGGTAATAATTATTGTCGGCTATTATGTCGACTTTGGTAATTTTCCGATATAACTAATAATAATATATGTAACTATTATTATTTAAAACACATTTATCGCTCATACGTTGTCACGACGTTTCTACCGTAGGCTGGGTGGACTATATCGGCTCGTCGCATCAGTGGTGGCATGCGTTGGTCGTGCTAGCCCTTTATTATTGGCATAACACTGGGATGCTTTATGTGGAATATAGAATGCATCATGGGTGTCCGAGCAGTATGACATTATGACATACGGATCCCGACGGCCAACCAGGTATAATGCTCGAGATAATGCTCGTAATTCAAATGATTATGACACTGTATTTACATGTACAATATTACATACATTTTCGTAACGTCGATTTGTGCAATCGTGTTATGAGACTTCAAGAACAATCAAGATGTGTTTGTTTAATTTTTTAAAGAAAAAAACAAAATGTTAACGTTACATTGCGACAGTCATTTAATTTTTTAAAGAGAGCTAACAGAGAAAAGAAATTTAAAGAAGAGAAAGAAGAGATTAAAAAAAAAAGCGTCAAGACAAAACGGCGGAGAGTCGTGATTAAGCTTAAAGATTCGCGGAAATTGCGTAAACAGCGAGGATTTAGCGTTAAGGAGGAACGTTAAAGAAATTGCCGAATTACTGAAACGTGCTGAAGAGGTTTATGAATTATCATAATGCATTACATTTCGTTGCAGAATCCGTTCTCGCCATGCAGTGCTCTTGCATGATGAAGGCGAACACTTGGTCGTCATGGATTAATAAAGAACCGCCGTTTTACGGTATCTTGAAGAACGAGTCCTGCGAGATAGAAAATCCATTGCGAATGTACGCGCACCGATAATCTCGGCATGTTCGCCTTTAGGAAACATGTGTCGCAATTTTGGGATGGGACGATAATCGCTGGATGAATATAATTCACGATATTTTTACGCGTTGCTCTATTAATATTTGTTCAGCATCACTATTTATATACGTTTGTTTTGCAAGAAAGACTGGTTCCATTCTAAACCGCACTTTTCCTTCCTCTCGATTTTTAATCTTAGCAGGACCAAATTACACCAAATCGTAACACGACGAGACTGAAGACGAAGCAGCTTGATTAAAATTAATTATTCACTCATTCCAGAAATACATTCTTTAAATTAAATCGTGGACTGTGCGAAGTCGGACCGAAAAATGGTGTAATATGAATTTTAATATTTTACTAAATTTGTGGAGATGTCTCTGTTAGTCGAATTTATCAAGAGAGTTATAAGTGAATTTTCAAGACACGTACAAACAGAGCGCAACATTTTCCGCTCTTGGCCCTGCTGGGTTCAAAAGCGACTCTTAATTTTTAAGGTTTATCGTTACTTTAAATTTATCTTTACTTGAAATCCTGATTATTATATTTTAAATTTGTTATGTTTCACGGTGACTAGTGCCTTTCGAACGTTTCAATACGAATCGATGAAGTTAGTGTTTTTTTACGAAGACCCATTTTTAAGAAGAATATTAGAAATATTGGGACACTGGATTATCTGATACAAAAGCACGCGCGTTTTCTTTTCATCGTTCCTAATGAGAGTCGTCGATATTGATGCATGGCGTAACAACGACAATTGGTTAATCGCACCGGTGACATTGGCACCCATTTAAAAAGTCGTAACGTTAGGCAATTACCGAACCGAGCCGCTATTCTTAGCTCGGCGCATACTTACAAGTATGATTCGCATATTTTACAATACACGTACAGCCAATGAAACCCGCATATCGAATGAGAAGGACGATATCGGAACGCAATATATTGTATCCTATCTGACTGACTCCAACACGAGTGCCGCGTTTTATGGAGCGGCCTTTTTCACAATTATGCATACAAATAATTAAGTGATAATAGCCGTAATAGATTGAAGCAATGTTGTTCGCTGAGTTGTTGAAAAAGAGTGAAATAAATGTTTTATTTATGAATAAGATTGTATCCTCCCTCAGTAATTGATACCTTTTCTCTCTCTTCTTTGTACGTATGATTATTATAATTTTCTTCCTTAATTTTTCACAAATTACTGCAGTGAATTGTAGCCAAAAGTTAATCTCATTCGTTGCCATATTGTTTGAAAATAAGATGGTTTTTTAACTCACTGTTGTGTTATACTAATTGAAAAACTGAAGGTAGAAATAAAAGACTGTCCAATAAATATCAAATAACATTGCGTCAATGTTATAATTTCTCACTCAACAATGTAAGTGCGACATAACACACGTTATAACAGTTGTATGTGTGTGGCAAATTATGACATTGTTGTAACGTTACTATTAGTTGATGTTTACTGATTTACTTGTTGATGAACTGTATTTTAGCTGTACATACTGCAACCTCGATTTATTAGTAGAAGCAACGGCAATTCGTAGCGGAGACTTTGAAATTAATAAAAATTACGGGTCTAATTGTAATGACCCCACTAAGATTAAAGTTCAGTTAGTCAAGATTCAAACCTATATTTACCCGAAATTCAAACCCGTCGGATGTCTTTCTACGACTCCGCTAGATGGTACCAGGTAATCCGATTACAGTTTAACGGTTTCTTAGCGATCTGACTTTCTGATTTTTCTAGACAAAGAAAAGAATGAGGGAAAACAGGGATTAGATTTTTTATATTGATATATTGAACAAATTTTATTTAGTAAGTTTTTACAGATCTTAATAATAGATTGTTATAAAATAGCTAGTAATATCAAAATGTTGCACTTACTCGGTAATGAGAACTGGAAGAATGCCGCGTTGCACTGTCAGATGGCGTTGTCTTGTCACGTATTGCAAAGATTTCAAATATATTACAGTTGACGACTTGTAAATCGCGCGCGAGTACATGTTTTTCGGCGTATGTTTTCGAGACGAGATTATGTCAGCCGTTTGCGGAAAGCGGGGAACGCCGATTCCTGATAATGAACCGTGCAAACAGAGGTACGTAACGACTATATTCGTAAGCTCTAATTTATGTGTGTCACGGTGGTAGTATTACGTACGTTGAAGCAAGTGTTCGAAACTCCCGTTCCGCCATTAGGCGATCTCTTGAGTTATACGTTAACTGCGTTGTCATGCAATATGCCCAACTGTAATTTTGGCTATTGTGTTTTTACTATCTAGTCGATATTATACGTATTTTTCTCGATTCGTAGGTAAGATTAGAATGAGGAATAGAGGAAAGGTACAATTCCGTATGTAAGTAAGGTTAGAATTATATATTTCTCTCTTTCTCTCTCACTCTCTCATATCATATGTAGCAATAATGATATATATATATATTTTTATTTTCGGAAAGACCAACACACATATGTACACAGATTTGTTATTGTTATATATTTTCTTGAGTAATTGTATCACCACGCAAGAATTTTATGCCTAATTTTGATTTTGATAATTATATCTTTATTATCAATCTGATGATATATACATCTCTTTCTTTCTCTTTCTCTTTCTTTCTTAATTACTTATATATTTATATTTATATATATTTATATTAGATTTTTTTAGAATTTTATATTATCTTTTAATATATATATATATATATATATATGTGTGTGTGTGTGTGTGTGTGTGTGTGTGTGTGTGTATGTGTGTGTACAGATTAGTTTTTTAGTCTACATTGAATTACATTTAACTAAACAAGTCTTGTTTAATTTTAAGCGTATTATATACACATTTCTCTTTATATTTTTTGTCTAATTTTGATTTTGGTAATTATATCTTTACTATTAATTTGATGATATAATATATACATCTCTCCCTTTCTCTTTCTCTCTTTCTTTCTTAATTACTTATATATTTATATGAGATTTTTTAGAAATTTATATCTTAACCCTTAAATGCATGAATTTTTTTTTATTACTAAGTTATTTTTTTTAAATTCATAGGTAGTCCCAGAAAATGAGAAAAATATTTAAAAAAATCTGAGGCATATGTTGAGCATTGCCTTTGTGCCTTTTGGATTGTATATTTCGTTCTAAGGAAGAATTTTATCTTCCATGTTTAGGTGTGCCTTTGATCTCGACAAAGAGGAAAAAATAAATATGTTGCAAATTTGCAACACTATGCATTTAAGGGTTAACACACACACACACACACACACACACACACACACACATGTGCAGATTAGTTTTTCAATCTACATTGAACTACATTTTACTAAACAAGTCTCGTTTAATTTTGAGCGTATTATATACACACTTCTCTTTATATTTTTTACCCCCCCTTTTAATAAATTGTTCCGAATAGAGCGACGACTGTTATCATTTTGCGACAGAGACTGTCGCGACGAAGCGAGTGACAATTTTCATAATTAACAATGTCCTGCTCATTACGATAAGGTAACGATCTGACGGAAAAGTCAGTGGCGCGAAGGTATCTCCTTCCGCCTTAGCCCGTGAGTCCTGTAATCCCGCCTGCAATCATTTTGCGTCCACGAGCGGACTTTCACTTTTCCTCCGCCGACGATGCGTCTAACCGAGCGATTCTTTATCCGTACGAGAAAGAAAGAAAGAGTGCATGCGGAGAGCGCGCCGGCGGTAGAATTTACGTAGCACTTAATCCCGCCGCTTAGAGGCCTGGGCAAAATCACCCTACTTCACATTCTCGGGTACCTATTCCTCCGCTTCTTTACGCCTCCTTCGCCACTCATCATCGTGAACATCCTTGCTTCGCGTTCGAGCACTTCTGCTCGCGCTTTTTATTAGCTGCCGAGAGCGGCGGTATTTCCCTAAAGCAGCTCTTATCAGCATATATCACTTTTCACCTTGTTTCATACTTTTTTATATCCTTCCTGATATTTACGGGAAATCAAGCGAAGTAATAACGTAAATCAATAGTCATGATACAACAAAACAGATATTTTTTTATGACTGATAGCACAGCTAGATTTAACAGAATTGTAGGATCACTCAGAATTCTTTACGTATAGAATTGATCTCATTTGTGTGTTTGTGTGTGCAAAATTTATCCTATTGGGAATTTAAACCTTTAAACTTTAACGTTGGTCTATCGTATCATATTTATATCTTTTATATCTCTTTATCCTCTTTACCGCCATTCAGCGTTATTAGCGAGTGCTTATCTAATGTTCCATAATGCGATATCTCGCTTAATATTACTACAAGCATTCTTATTCTCTACATGCAACGAACATAGATGAGCAACAGAAGAAAGCGGCGGAAAACGAGTTAAAGCATTGACCGGTCCAACGAGAAATATCTCACGCCTTTTACATTTCAAACCAATCGTTGTTTACTTTTCACGCGACAGGCGAAACTCGAATCATCACCTGTTATTCACGAGACGAAATCCGATCGATCGTGTTCGAATCATCTCGATAGTTCGCGTTACGTCTGTCACGATCGCCGGGATGCACCGCAAAAAGGCGCCCCGAATCAGCTGCGAAGCCAATCCTTTAATCGTCAGTACTAAAATATTATAAGGCGCGTAATCGCCGCGATCGCGCCGAAATCCGCCGGCTAATCTCTCCACCGTAAAAGCGGTTTTATGTACCTATCTGCCGGGAGCTCTCGACCGCTCTCGGTGCTTCGCTCTCGCTGCTTTCCGAGATTTTAATGGCAGTCACACAGTAGAGCCGATGGCAGAGCGAGCGGGCCGGTACGAGTGTACACATTATTCCGTCGTCAGAGACAACAGAAACGTTAATCTCGGTCGCCAATTATCGGTTTTAGGCGGCACTCTTCGTTGTCTTTCGCCCGGCGCGGGCGTCGTTCGCGCTAAAAACCGCCTGCGCTCGTTCATTCGCTCGCTCGCTCTCGCTTGCCCGCTCGAAAGAATGATTAAACGCGGTTCGATTCATCGATTATCGGCTTCGCGCGCGCCGAAGGGAAATCGCCCCACCTAGCGCACCTATATACATCCCGCGATTAATATCACGGACTTCAGCGAGACGTCGCCCCAAATTCACCGAGCTTAATTCCAAATTTTTTCCATTCGACTAATGTTCTAAGGGAGATTAATGTCGGATATTAAATATATTGTAACGATGGAAGTTTCGGAACAAAAATGAAGTATGAGATCATCA